CTCTTCTGCTTTCCTAATACTCGTGCCATGAATTTCGAAATGCACGCAATTTATCCGCACCGATGCTGTCCAAATAGTTTGCTTGAGGCCCTAGGAAAAACCCCTATTACAAATCCATACCCTATTTCGTGAAAGCCGTGGGCAAACTTCAGATATCGCCCACAAAATCGAGTGTATGTAACCCGACCCACCGTGGAGTTAAAATAGTTTATGAGAAGAATAAGTTCGATACCTTTATATTTACAGCGTGATTGTAGCCATTAAACTTGTGCCTTTTGAGGCATAGGTAAGCTAGTCGAGAGAATTGGGGCGACATTTTAAACAAGTATTTTGGTGATGAATGACATCCATAATGTGTAATATTCAAGTTGGATTAAAAATTGCAAAGTATAATTAATTCATTTCCATGAATCATTAATTTTTTTCAGTTTTGAATATTATGGGGCACTAATTGAAGATAAATACCTAGCAACTCTCATTTAATTGTATATACACTTACAAGTAGCGCAGCAGCTGTAAATCAGGCTACAGATTAATGATTCCATCAGATATGATTTTGATACACGCAACGAGTGAAAGTTAGACATTCAAGAATAAATTCTACAGAAATGGAAAGGCAAGAGTTATATTTAAAATTTACTTATTTTCAGGATTTAATTTTAATCTTGAGGGTACACTCATTCTTGAGAGAGTCACTCATAGATTTAATACTGGGAGAGGCAAGGGGAGGGGTGCTGTAGTTTGTATCGGCGTTCGAGGCGTGACAGCGAAGCGGTTGACGCGAAAGTCACACTTTCTTTCCTGTGCATTATTCTTTTTTATAGAAGTGTTAATATTCGAGCCGCGTTAGTCTACAAAAATATAACGGAGGAGGTGACACACGAAGAGGAGTTTCCAAACCGAATATTACAGACATCACTCTCGGAGATTTAATTTAGGAATCAGCAATCCTAATTTCATCAAGTTACCCATTCTGGAAAATTCATGTATCCTCTTAGACATATTTGTTACCTACCGTAGTGACATTCATCTATCTAATTTTTATCATCCCCTCAAAATAACATTAATAATAATTTTTTTTTCTGAAATCTTGATAAATTATTTCTACGTAAGTATATGATAAAATCAGAAGTAATCAGGGCATTTTGTTGAACACGCGATGGGCCAAAAATATGAATCTTGGGCTGCTATTAACAAAGAAAATTCAATTTTTCCTTTTGCATATAGGGATGCATTTGGACGAAAGGTCATTAATTAGGTCTGGATATTAAAGTAAAAGCGCGGTATTTATGAGTTGAAAGTTTGATCAGTAACGTGCTGGTTGTAAAAGGTATAACAGAAGTATGTACTTTGTTGTATTTGTTTTGTAATTTGACGTTTCAATTAAAATCGGTCCATTTTGTCTGAGAAGTTGAAAAGAGGAGAAATGTTTTTTAAACGCCCTGATTATTTACATCTTCGAGACGAACCAGCACCTTGATCTCTAAACACCTCGATTCATGAGCGCTTCCGGTAGAGGAATTAAGGCACAACGGAAACGAAGGCTAGGAAATTAAAACGCTATGTCCATTCCAAGCGTATAAAATCACACTAAGACTCGACACGGGCGAGAGGTCACGACTCACGAGTACTACTACGCTTCCCCTTGCCCTCCAATATTCTGAAGCCCAGAAATTGAGTCAGTGGGTCAAAACAGTTGCTTGACTTACACTTAACGCCACTTTAATGGGTCAGGGAATGGTCCGCACGTCTTAAAAATTCTCTTAGTTGAAAAATGGAGTAAATCGGGGTTTTTGCTATCCTGAAAAATAGGCATTTTGGAAATACGTGGTTTCCTACCATCCACAAGTCACAAGGCACATATTTCGTCCTATTACATGACCTCTCCCTCCTAAACTATTTTTCATCTTACTTATCATCCTAGTCGACTGCCAACGGTTTCTTTTTGTCATTAATTTCAAGCATTCCCGTTGATCTCCGCGAACCTTTGATGAAGAGATGCATAATGGGGCCATTCCCATTAGGCATCTGTAGATACTTAAGCTGGAAGGTTTGTAAAGTGAAAAATTCAGGATATTGATAATGAGCTTAAACGAATGCTCCTTATTTACACCTAATTGGTATCCTAGCGTACCAACTCCTTTCTGCCAGTTTTTGATGAGTCGATCAATCCTGTCATTAAGAGAATTGCTTTGAGTGGAATGATGAGTCACAACAAACCAATTCTGACTGCATCTCTACAAGAGGATCACGATGGATCTATTCTTAACCTCAATCAACTTGAAAATGCACTTTCAATGGTGCATCGAAGACATTGCACTCTGTAATTGCGCCTTTGATTTCTACAACAGGCTTTACAAACGAGCTTCTAACATCTTCAGACCTCATCTCCGCGTAAAGAGGAGACAGAACTTAAGTTTTGTCATTACCTCGGATCTTTATTTTGTGGGCGGAAACGATGACGCATTGTCTCATCCGTTTTCATCGGGTTAAGTTTTACAACATGCTTGAGGAGTGAGTAACGAGATCACAAAAGGGCGCATCTTCGACGGGAGAGGCAGTGACGGGAAGTTTCGAATCTCGACATTTTATCTTTTAGTGCTGTCTCCTGTTATCTCACTCAAAGTGAAATACATATTTAGGCGCGGCTATAACATAGGGGCAGCTTTTCAAGCCCTTTCAAATTTCCAACGATTTTCAGTCATTTTTGAGTTGGCTCTTATTTTCTTCAAAGCTTTGAAATTCGACTGGAACAAACGCCTACATACAGAAAAATTGAACCCTTACATGATTCCAATCTCGACTTAAATTGTCGTCACTTTAGTTTTGCACCGAATTGAACTTCAAAAAATTATTTCAACCTTGCGCAAAGTGAACTTTAGGTTGAAAAAAACATTACTTAAGGGAATTGGCCAAAATCAACCTACTACATACATGCATGTTACCTAATTTCATCTGACGTTTAAGTTATTTAAGTGAAAAAGCAAGAGCGTTCATTTCAATTTTATGCGGGTGTACATTCCAGGGTAAAATTCAGAAAAAAATGTGAAGCATCGTATTTTATAGTTTCACTGAAAAAAGGTGTTACAATTTCAATTATTATACCTCTGGCTGATTTTGGCGCCAGATATAAGAGCCCAGAAAGTATGATTTATCGGACCTCGCTCTCGGTTGACTCAACGGTACATCTGGCTGGCATAACTACTCTTTTATCCGGCGCCAAAATCAGCCAGAGGTATAGTTGAGATCGTGATATTTTTTTGCGTGTTTCTTAAATGAAGGAGAAGAAAAAAAGTGCGAGAAAACTGGGGAATGTGGCTAATTTTGGTTGTCTTCTATCCCGTTCATCTAAATAACATTTGCCTGTGAAAACACTCCGAAACTTCGATTGAAAATCAGTCAGGTCTACCTCTGATTCGAAATATATCAGGATTAAAATCCTGATTTTTTAAAAAAGAATCCATAACTGTTTCTTAATTAGAGTGGCCATCGTAACCGTGCAGTCATCTACCAAAACCTGAAATCCGTTGGGGGAACTGAGACTAGTCTGTTGATGCTGATGCTGTACATACGTATCATATGTGTAACATGTCACATGGGCGTTTTCACTCGCCATGCGTGTCCATAGTGCGTCGCTCCTCTGGCGTAAGGGCGTATCTCGGTTCCCGCATGAGCCCCAAAAAGCATAGATTCATACGTAAAATAGGGCTCACTTAGAAATTAAGATACGCCCTTAAGTCAGAGAGACGACGAGTGCGCAAGCGGTGTCAATAACATGTGGAGAGACGCGCCTTGCCGGCTAGCTTACCGTAAATTACGAGGCTAAAATTTCTGCAGTTGCACATAATTGATGAATTTGTTTGTGTCACTCATGAAAAAATTTGCATTGCCTGACCCTCTTGCAGTGATTTTTTAACCATTTTTTTCATGCATGACGTTGAGATAGAAATTGATTTCACTAATTTCATGTGCGGCTAAATAATAATGAGTGTGGATAGCACCAGCTCCTCCTCTATCGAAGTGAATTTGTTTAATATAGTTAATATCACTTTGTAAGAAATAAAAACCGTGATGTTAGAACTAAATCAACCAATCGAGAGACGGTATATTAATAAAAACCGATCAACATATACGATTTACTTAACAAAATTTTACGAAAGTCATGTTGGACTTATTTTAAAATTCCCAAATCAACTTACAAATGAGGAACGAGTATTAAAATTTTACTTCAAAAGCAACGAATTCAAAGTTCCCGCCAAAGAAGAACAAGGAATCAACGCAGGTTAAACGGGACATTATTAAAGAAATAATATGTCTGCTGAATAACAAATTTGTTCCCCTAAAAATATAACTCCTTTTTTGATACACGGTACTCACAAAGGTATCCAGAAAAATTCATTGCACTAAAAATGTTATTGAACTAAAATTGTTTTTGTGTCCAACTTGCCTCAAGTAGACTTTAGGTTCGTATCTAGCGCGAAATTTGAATTGAATTTTCATGGGTAGATTCCTGGAAAATTCCTCCTGGAAGAATCCTGGATCTCTGCGGAATTTTTTTTTTGCCTTTTTTTACCTATTTTTTTACTTTGAGAAGCGTCACTGGTAATCCTCTAACTTGCATCTTATTGAAATTGAAATTTCTTATATGTATAAGCCGTTTTTACGGCGCGCTAGGGCGCTCTGCGACGCCTACTCTCCACAGGAATCTGTCATGGTAGAGATCCTCCAGGAAGCTGGCATCTCTCCATCTCTTTACGGATGCCCTCTACCCACCGTTTGGCTGGACGCCCTGAAATTTAAATTTCTTGACTAAGATAATTAAGATAATTTTTTCCATTCGTTTATTCAGTTCCGTTGGAGCCCTCATTTTCAAATTGCCGCCGATCTCAAAGCAAGGTGCCTCCACCCCCCGCCCATTATCACACAAAAAACAAGGAAAGCCCTTCCCTCCCCAACCCAAGCGTTTCAAACCTTCAATTTTTATTGTGGAGAAGACTTACCACGTTGTAGGAAAAATCCAAAAGGAAAAACTATAGTCGATGCACAAGATCACATTATCCAAATCAAAACGGCGAGTATCGCTCACAACGAGGCACGTAAACTGCGTACTTGCCCGGGCTAGAACTGGCAGTCATTATTTCACTGGATATGACAGAAAATGTTGCCGATGAATGAGCCGCGACTTAGCTCCCACGGGGGCGGCGGGGAGGGCGGGGGCGAGAGGTAAAGAGGGGCCCCTCCGCTCAGTGTATCCGTACGTCAGCTTCCGTCACCAGGCGCCACAACCACGGGAATCGGAACATACGTCGGAACATCTAAAATGCACAACCAGAATTTTCCTTGAAGTTACAGTAAAATCACTTCCGCTCTCCGAATTGATGATGAATGCTTGGATGAATCACACTTTTGTTTTGTTTTTGCTTTGTTGCTACGTCAACAGGGATGTCATCAAATATGCACGCATACGCTATGATATTCCTGCGACGGCTCCCAAACATTTGATTGGCTCTCCCTGAATGACACTTGCTTATTCACGCAGTGTACATGCGAACTCACAGCAAGTGATTCTCTTAGGCGAAATCTACGTTAATTCAAGCTTTTAAAGACAAAGCGCAAGTACTATAATACACTCATGATGTTTGCTCGTGGAAATGACTTTCGTAGTGAACCTCGTATTTTCGTCGTTATGAGTTCCACGAAAGGTGGCTTCTAGGATTACTGCACAAAAAGGCGTATTAAAATAATTGTAGAACTAAAAGGTGTTGGTAATTGTAGGACTAAGATGTTTTGTCAGAGAGACTTCATTCGCAGTGACTCATAGGCACAGAGGAGTTGTCACGGAAATGAAAGTGTTGGGGGTAATCCCCTAGAATTGTGGCACTATTCCGTTTTGTTGAAAGCTATGGACATTTCCAATTAATTAGTAGTTACCGCAATAGTTGGGCCAGTAACCTAATTTATCGGAGGTACTCCCACAGTTGTAAGCTCCCTAATCAAGTTTGATTTTAACCTCTACCTCTTTTGGCTGTGGCCAATGGCAGGGAAAGAAAAGTACAAGGAAAGACATAAAATGTGAGTTTTGGTGTCTAAACCTGGGGTCATTTCCGGCGATAATCTAGGGGAGATTCCCCGCAACACCCTTGTATTGGGAGGACTTCTACTCCTCCTGGAAAAGTGGAGGCCAGGCATAGGCAGATCCAGACACCTCAAAGGGGGAGGGGGTCGTAAGGGGGGTCCGGGGGTTTCTCTCCCGGAAAATTTTTGAAGCATCTAATATACAGTTTGAGTCAATTTCGTCATGAATAATTACACCATGTAAGCATCTTTCCTTTTTCTTTCCTTTGCTCCTTCCTTATTTCTTTCTTTCTCATTTTTTCCGGGCGAACCGGGGGGGGGGGGGCTATGCTTCCCCACCCTGAATCAGCCTATGAGGCCAGGTCACCCTCAGAAAATTGCTCTAGCTTCGGCCAAGGGGATTTTCCTGAGCCAAAGCTAACGCCCCTAGTTTTAGGTCTGTGGAAATCAGGTCAACTGTGCGACAAGCGCTCGGCGGGCAGGTGGTGGGGTTACACTCATACTCGAGAGCTTGAGCCGTAGCGGCAGACGGCCACGGCCGGCGGCACACCTTCCAGTTTCGGCCCGAGGTAAACACCTGATAAGATTAGTTGCATCCTATTTGTTTCGAAATGAGCTATTCAGTATCGACTGTTGAGCCACTCCTTCTCACCACCATGTCGCGCCGCACCGTAACGCACAGTGGCAGAAAATTCGCCAACCAAGAACAGCAACTACACGCCCCTTCTCTGCCACGCTGAGGAAGAACACCGTTTGATCATACAAATTGTACAATACTCTATAATATAAAATGCGAAACCGTAACGCGTAACTTTTGACGCTGAGCGTGTCCTCTACCTACCCCTTCCACTGCATGCCCCCCCCCACTACGCAGAATGCGCCTACTCAATCCGCTACCCCTTCCCCACCTCTTATCCTCTATCCTTCTCTCCTCTTACTCCACCCTCCACTTTCTCTTTCAGATTTTTGCCAATTTCACTTCCACCTATTCCCCACTTTCTATCCCGACCATTTTAGGTCAGATCTTTCTGCGACTTTGCGACACTTTTTTTGTACTACTTTGTGCTCTCAATTAAATTCTTCTTTAATTTTTACTTTTTTTTAACTTATTCAGTGACAACTCCTTGATAATTCTAAGTATTATCAATTTTTGGTATTGCATCTCCTTCCGTAAGATCTACCGAAAATGAATGAACCACTTCGCCCCACAATCATATGATCACCGATGGAGGTTTTTTATTTGGAGCTTTGTCTAATTGCATGTCAGATTGCCCCACGAGGGGTCCACGAGGTGGGCCCGAAAGAGCTCGAAGCGCCCTCGGGTGCCGGGTGGTTAGACAGCGTAGTGGCCAGTGGCGTGTCGTGCTTTGCGATATATCGATTATTATGACATTTAAACCTATGAAAAAGGATCGATAAACAGGGTGTTCGCAGCGAACACCTTAATAATCGATTCTTTATCATAGGTTTAAATGGCACAATAATCGATATGTCACAAAGCACGACACGTCACTGGTACTGGCTAGGGAACTAACCCCATAGCGTTGTAAAATTTTTGTGGATAGACATTTTATGGCTCCTAATTGTATTACAGGAAAGACCCATTTATCGATCTATACAACAAGGGTGAAAACATTAAAAAGGACCTCGGAGTTCAATCTAGTTTTTGGGTGGTTTCTTCCTAGCTACTGGTTTCTGTCTCGAAAGGCTCATGGTCCTTAGTCGATCAAATTTTTGGTCAGTTTTTACTTATCATGCGTCACCAGAACTAAGCTGTGGTAAATTCATTTGTAAATTAATCTTTTGAAAACGCCTGATGTAAATAAACCCTAACTGCTATTCACGAAGCACAGTTTAAAAAACAACGATTGTTGTTTGGGGAAAAAGCATTTGCGTGATGGAGTTCCTGCAGTTCGTCGATTGCATAAAGTATAACACCGCGACATTTACAGGTAATGGATTGAATTGCATTTTTTTGAGTAGCAGTCGAAGAAAGGGCGAATAAGGGCAAGAAAGTCTAAGTACACAATAGCATCTTATTTAGCGACGAAAAAACATGTCGGATGATTCCTGAGACTTAAATGAATTAAAACGAAGCAAAAAAAAAAACCCTCTGAGCACTAAGCTCTTTCTACGAATCTAAAGAGTTTTGAGTATTTTATGGTCAGTTGCGTTTTTTCTGAGCAAAATTGAAGATTTAAGATCCATCAATCAAAGATTTCAGTAGGATTCGAGATTCAGATCACTAAGGAAGTTAAAAAATAAATCTATGAATTCAAAGCTAAAAATATGAGTCTCAACGAGCGAAAAATGTTAACAACACTAGCTTGATTCAAAATTATATGTTAACCGCTCTCGAGAAGTTTGCAAAAAATTACTGGTAAGCTTAATTTCGAAAGTCTCAACCACGTTCGATAGCTGGAGTTTAGATTTGGCTTCGCGTTTTGCAAGTAAGATGAAACCAAAAACATGTGATATTTGGAAAGTGTAAATTCTGTTTTTTCAATGGAATAACTGAAAAATAGACCGAACAAATGTAATTTAAGTGCACTGTTATAGATTTATCAAATTTGGTTGCATGCACATATGTTTAATATTGAAATTTAGTGGTTCTATTTTACGATTAAAAATAAGTGCACAGTTTAAGTAGCATTTTGTGAAAATTATCAAGATCATGATGTTATTTCATGGTCTCAAGACTGTCAAGGTGTATAATGTGCGCGATAACAGGAGTATTGCCATAAAAAAATAAGGATTTGTCTTATCACAACTCCAATTTCTACTTTTGTACATTCTTCTGTTTTCGCATTAGGTGTAATTTGTGAATCCTGTTTCCAAAATTCGGTCTTATTGCAGCAACAACATAGGGAGCACCTTAGGAGAGAGACTTCATATTGCGTTGGAAGAAGAGAGAAAATTATTAAAACAAATCCCTTAGTAACTACAAGAGCAGGTAATTATCTAACAACCAACTGTTATAAGCATTCAGCTCATGAAAACGGAGTGCCTTCAATTGGTACTGATACTACATCTCGTACATGATACGCAAGAGTAACAGAGTAAGTGGACGAGTTCTAAAAGTGTATGTTCCTCTGCTTTGTCAAATTTTCTGTCATGAGTTCTCTTTTCCAGGAAATCTAAATATTGTTTTAAAATGGGGTTTTGAACCTACGAAAACGGTGTATTGAATGTGCATTGTTACTATGTATAGCTCGAACATATCTTACGCACATTTTATATTTATTCCAATAACTTGTAACCAATGCGAGTACATTATATGACTAATGGGTATCACTATACGTAAAATAATTTACAGAATAAAAAGTTATAAAATAAAAATGTAACGTTACTGTACCTAGATCTTCATGTTTCTAGAGCGAGGATTTTTAAATCCATAGTTGGTTTATTTAGAGCTTGTATTTTCTTCTTTATGAGAAAACTAGGCAACAACTCGACTTGAATTTTGTAAATATATTGTTGTACGCTTTAAAAAAAATTCCTCAGAAAGTTTCAAGGCTTGTTGCCTAGTTTCGCTTGTAAAAAAAATCGAACAGATAGATTCTGAGATATCGCTGTGGACAGATTTGGGGGACGCCACACGGACGGACACACATTTTTTCAAGTATGGTTATTTTTACTCCTGGGACCTTAAAACGTCTAGGAATGATGAAATTTCAACTTTTTTTTTTTTTTTTTTTCTTGGAGGATGACAATACTTCCTCTCTACCCTATGGGAGCGAGAAAGTAATAAAACAAGGGCGAAGATCAGACCCTAAGGAATGCAGTCACCTGGACCATGGTTCAGTCCGTTCATGTTATGACCTTACATCAAAATCTTAAATTATGAAAAGAGTACTGGAAAAAAACACATTGGATCTAGAGCCAAGACCCTTGAAAACACTGACAAGAAAAAATACTCTTGATTCAATCGGATTTAAGCTTAAATCAGAGAGGTTTGATTCCTGATTTAAACAAAAATCCGATTGAATCAAGAGTACTTTTTCTTGTCGATGTTTTTAAGAGTCTGGACTCTAGATCCAATAAGTTTTTTTTCCAGTGAGGTACACTGACCCTATCTGGAA